ATTTGACTCCTCCATGACCAAGGATACAACCTTGGTCATGGAGGATTTGACTCCTCCTTGACCAAGGATACACCCTTGGTCATGGAGGGTTTGACTCCTCCTTGACTGAGGATACACCCTTGGTCATGGAGGTTTTGACTCCTCCATGACCAAGGATACACCCTTGGTCATGAGGAGTGAAAACTTCCATTATTGAGGTGAGTTTGTTGGTCATGGAGGAGTGAAACCCTCCATGACTGAGGTGAGTTCCTTGGTCATGGAGGAGTGAAACCTACATGGCCAAGGGTGTATCCTTGGTCATGAGGGTGTATCCTCAGTCAGGAAGGGGTGGAAAACTCCATGACCGAGGTGATTTGGAATGTTTCCTCCATCACTTACTTCCTGAGAGGAGGATTCAGCAGGTCACATAATCAAACAAATTCCAGTTGTAAACACGGAAAACCAATTTAACCAAAACCCAGTGGAAAATAAAAATAAAAATAAAAATCTGATTCAGGGATTCTTAAGGTACTGGGTTATTGTAACCTGTGTTTCAGATGATTTTTAAAAATATTCTTAATCTCCAAAGCCCCCTGAAAAAGGAGAAAAAAATGGGTTTATATGCGGAAAACCAGGTGTAAAGAACCGGGTTTAAATGCAGAAAACCCGGGTATGTTTATTAATGCCCTTTTTTTGCTTTTTCCTAAAGTGAGAGCCAAGAGGATAGCTCAAAATGCTGTCCGCTTAACTTATACGTCATACAGGGAGCCTGAGCTTTCAGATCAGAGGGACAAGCATGGATATAGTTATTAGTTGTGGATATTTTACAATAAATATGAACAAATGAAAAAAGTGACCTGGGACTGATATTTCACAATAAATCCAAGTATATTAAGTCCAGTGAATTGTAAAAAAAAATTCAAGGGTTTCCCCAAAATTCACATTCATGGCTACAAGATCCCAATGCACAAATCCAGAACAGCAGCTCACAGCCCCCCAACTCCAGCATTGCCAAAGCACTTGGTCTCAGTGTCCAGCACAAGTCAAATCATGTGTCAAAAACACTGGACATGAATGTCCCCGGCAGCATCAAAAGACACAAGCCAGCGGGGGGGCAGCGCATTAACCACCAAACTGCAGAAGTGTGACAGCGGGTGGCAAGAGGGGGTTTGATGGCAAATCCAAAATCATAACACCCCTGGTGTTACAACCCTCCCCTCCGAGCAGCCAGCTTATATATGTACCTCCTCCACCATACTCGCCTTGCTGCTGGATTCTACACCTCCATCATCATCAACACAAAACACTCCCACCCTTGACAAAACCAAGCCCCATCGTCAGGCCAATTTTGTCAGCCTATGTGATGCCAAGATGCAAAATCTTCTATCTACACGTGGTGCAACAGCAAGAAAAAAGCTTAAGAAATTTTGGTTTTAATTTTAAAGGAATAAATTCCAATAAAAGAAGGGAATTTATGGGTGTTTTTAAGAGAAAAAGTGGCTAATTTATATTAACAAAATTAGTATAAATCAAACCTGAGGGGCCTGATAAATCAGGGGTGGTTAGATCCCTCAAAGGTATTGTGCTAAAAGCAGAGGATTTAGGTACCTGTTACACTGGGGCCTGTAAACAGGGGTGGTTTATATCCCAGTAAGAAATAATGGGGAAAATCTCAAAGAAAGGGTTATTACTCACTAGTAATAATCGTTTGGGGTCTTGATGATCTTCAGAACAGAAACTGGACCGTTGGAAGCGCTCAAAAAGTTTGGTTTTGGGTGCTGGGTGTTCACTGTGAAACACCAGTGCAGCAGCCGTGAGCGATGAGGAGAGAAATGACTCTGAGGAGCGAACAAAGAAGAATGAAAAGATCTTATACCTGTGAAACACCAGTGCAGCAGCCGTGAGCGATGAGGAGAGAAATGACTCTGAGGAGCGAACAAAGAAGAATGAAAAGATCTTATACCTAATCAAGGTATAAGTCAAGTGACACAGTGAGATGAGTGTGTGTATTACTTATCGAGCAGAAGAGATGAAGAGAAGAAGAAAAAGAAATCCAACCTGTGAAACACCAGTGCAGCAGCCGTGAGCGATGAGGAGAGAAATGACTCTGAGGAGCGAACAAAGAAGAATGAAAAGATCTTATACCTAATCGAGGTATAAGTCAAGTGACACAGTGAGATGAGTGTGTGAGGAAAAAAGAAAGGAAAACAACACGGAAGAGAACTATGTGTATCCTAAATACAAGGTGAAATGAAACCTAATCTAGATACACATGGTTGTTTGTTGTTGTCCCTTTTCCAAACCCTAACCCTATCTCTCATGTCACGTGTGACATCCTTCCTTCATTGTCACATTCACTGGGGAGTTTCTGGAGGAATCTTGAGGCTTAATAGCAGGAAAGCTGGGGGATCATTATTTGGGTGGTCAGAAGGCCCTTTAAATACCTGTGGAAAGCCTCAGGGGTTGCTCAGGGGAGCTTAGTAGGACTTGGGAGCGCTTTGTGGCCCATTTTAGCCCACTTAGTGACGCAACAAGGGCTGAAACCTTGGGGATAATATTCTAGAAGATCCAAGGGGTCATGCACAAATTTATTTAAACCAAGAATATACCTTGGGAACCTGTGGGCAAGGGCTAGTCTGTGACGTGGTGTCATTTCCTTGGAAATGGGCCACAGAATGTGCCAGAACTGGTTTCTGGGGCTTGTTACACGTGCTACAAACTGGAAGATGGAATATTCAGAGCTAATGTAGTGTATTCATGAATATTCTAGCTTATTTATATGTTTATTACACGTGTGGGGGCTTTGTTGACACGTTCACAGTGAGTTTCTGGGGCTTTGTGGCCCATTCCTTGGATACTGGTAACCCAGAGGGGGTTAAGCATGTATCCAAGGCAGGTAGGCATACCTAGCACGCGCGGGGGCTTGTGCCTTGGGCTCAATTGCGGCAATTGAAACGTCCTGCATGATTATTGTCTTGAGTAAAGATTGACCCAAGCACCCATAATCTGAAATGAAATGCACGCTTTTGGAAATTTTGTGATTACCTTGTACTGGTTGTACCTGTCTGCCGAGGAGAACTACTCCATGGGGATCCCCCATTGCCAAATACTCACTGGGGAGGAGCTCTTCCCGACCATCACTTTAGATTCCTGCTCACCAAGGAGGGGCCTGCTAGTGCTGGGTGAATGGGCACACCTTGATTTGTACTTGCTCTCTGAGATGGGACCCTGGCCAGAAAGTGGGTACACCTTGTACCATTTGCTTTAGAAAAGCTCCCTCGGAAAACCCATACAAGGTGCTCGACAAGGAGGAATCTTCCCCACAAGCCTGGGAAGCTTCCTCCCAAACAAGCAGCCACATAGCAGGCACTTGTGGATGCTCCCTTGGGAGAAAGTATCCTTGGCTAACAGGTACAAGCTGCCTTCCAAGTTGGAATCCAGCCCAGCGGGTGGGTCCCTTTACCGACTCATCACCTCCAAGGTGCACCCACCCGTCCGCCAAGTGGCAAAGTCGGAAAAGCCCAAATGGGTAGTATGCACTTGAAGAATTTTTTTTGCTCATTTTTCTTTGGTTGTCATGGTTCCGATGGATTATCATGTGGGACGATTCATGCTTGCGGCTCCATTGTAGTCAGGCGTGCCTGCCAACTGTGCGCAGCATGACTACGCGGCACGCGGGCTTGGAGACAATACGCACCAAAATGTGCTAAATTCTAAACTATACACCACACTCCAAATCAATGAATGGATTTGGAGTATATGCATAATGCCTGAATAAAATCAGTACCCGTTGTGGTCATTATTCCTGTGTATGAAGGAAGAAAATTCAAAATTTTATTATTTATCAATGAAGGACTCAAGATATGGACAAATGGACGTCAGAAATGAAATCTACGGCCAATTTAACCCCTAGTCACTCACTGGAACCATCTTCATATCTCTACTGGATCAGAAGTTAAGCAGAATCAAGGATGTCACACGGAGGATCACAGGATCAGAGGCACTCAGCTGGAGGGTATGTTGCATGGGGGTATATTGCATATTGCATATTGAATTCCTTTATTTCATATTGAATTCCTTTTATACTTACATAACCACAAGTTGGCCACCAGTTGTACCAGTTAAATTCCCATTTATTCAGCCACAGAACACATGAATTCCTTTCTTACAGCTTACATATAAAAGGAATGCGTTGTAGATAGTCTAGCCAAAATCCCTCAGGATTTTCAAGGATAGGGCAGCTAAAATGCCTCATACAGGGGGTCCCTTGGGGCTAAAATCCCTCATAAATTACTATATAAGGAGGCCTCTGCCTGCCAGTTGTTTTCCTCCTCATCCCACTCAGTACACATTTTTGGTGGGACACCTGTCACAGATTACATATATTTATTACACAAGAAGTTCACGAGTAGTACAGTTCACAGATTGAAATATATACACAGTTCATTTCACAAACATTACACAGAAGAGCCAGTCCTTTGTTCCAGTCCTGGTTGAAGCATAGTGCTCCCAGACCCTTTGGGTTCAAGAACCACCTCTATTACATTATACATATACAGCATCAAGGAAGAGCACTAGTATCAAGACATCAAGACAAGAAACAACATCAACAACTCAATCAATTCTTTGGACAACAAGATCAACCTTCAACAATTATACAACCATCTTTGAACATAATCCATTATCACCAACCAAACTGCCAAGCTTACCTTGGTGGTCTTGTTTTCTGATAATATAGAAAGGCAGAGTTTGCAGCTCATTTCATCCCTTTCTCCATTCACCAAAAAGGATCTTACAATCACTTTTTGAGTCTTACAACATGATAACAGGGTACCTGGTAATTATTCAAGGGTATTTTGAGGAGTGAAGGAGTTGGAAATAGGGGTACCTTTGGCTGAGTTACCCTAGGTTAAATTGTACGTAGATTTAGAATCTGCAATAATATTCTTGTTGAGTTTTTTCTGTGAAAGGCGATTCCGCAGCCTGTGTCAGAAAAAGAGAATCACAATAAACAAGCTCACACAACCGGTTAGGGTTGGCTCGTCAACCGTTGAAACTCTGAACGCTCGGGACTTGAATTCCTCAACCATCATCGTCATCGGTTCGCTATCAACTTCAATCATCCGGCTCGACTCCTCTTGGAAAATCCTCGCCGCGCTTCTAAATCGACAATCTCCGAACAATTGTAAAGTCTTCGGCTTCAACTCAACTGACATCACCAATCAACTCATTTCCTTTTCCGTTTTCTTCTCTGTTTCCTTTTGTTTCTTAGACTCTGTTCAGCTTTAAAAATACAGCTCCCGCTCTTGCATATTCAGTGCACCTTGATTCTTCTTCTGCTTGCTGTTCGTTGTTTTTTCTCTTTTGTCTCAATTCTTTTCTTCTCCGCTAAATGTCCTTTGTGTTTGATGTGATTTCGCTGAACTTTTTCCTCCTTCTGTCCAAACTTGTTTTCTTTTTCACAGCTCACCCTAACTCTCCAGCTTCCCTTACACTTTCTATTAAAAGTCCTCAATCTATAATCATCCCATCTGATTAGCGGTATGCCTCAAATTCCACTAATTCATTCAGGATTTCTTTGTTTTCTAATTTCTCTTGGGCCTTAATAAAAAAACCCGCATTTTCCGCGTTTTGACGCGCTTTTGCTGCGGCACAGCACACGCGCATTCTGCTTTTAAACCCGCATTTTTAATTAATTTTGTTTTGCCATTAATTTCGAGTTTTTTTGATTTTTTAAAATTTTTTCCTACACTTTGAAGGGTGTAGAATTTAATGGTAAAGTCCATTTACCATAAAAATGACTTTGATTTTTTTTTTTCTGCTTACTCATTTTTTCAATTAATTGTTTGCATGCATGTATGTACCTTATTATTTATGCTTTTTTGAAATTTTGAAATTATTTCCTAGGTTTCAATGTGTGCAGAATTTAATGGTGCAATCCAATTTTTTTAAAACTCAACGGTTCGTTTTTAATACTGAAATTAGACCCATTTTTTCACTTAATTTTTTACAGCTTAATTCTCATCATTTTTTGACATTTTAAATTTATTTCCCACACTTTAAGACATGTAGAAAATGATGGTAACAACCATTTTTCCCCAAAATGAAAACTATACCTTGAATGCCGCATTTGACACGTTTTTTTTAATTAATTCATCACTTTTTCACTTAATTGTTTGCATACATGTGTGTACCTTATTTTCTATGCTTTTTTGAAATTTTAAAGTTGTTCCCTACATTTAAAAGTGTGTAAAATTTAATGGTAAAATTCAATTCCCATAAAACTCAACGGTTCATTCTGGATACTGTAATTAGTCATATTTTTCAATTGATTTTTAAGAGCTTAATTTTCATTATTTTTTGACATTTTAAATTTGTTTCCTACACTTTCAAACATGTATAAAATTATGGTAACAATGAATTTTCATCAAAATGAAAACTATATCTTGAATAATGCCTTTGACGTGTTTCCTGAATTAATTCTTACATGCTCAATTATCCTTATTTTTTGGAATTTCAAGCTCATTTCCTACACTTTTCAAGGTTTCAAAATTGATGGCTGTATCCATTTTGCGTTCAAATAAAATTTGTATATGGTACAAATTATGCAAGAAACAGGGTACGCTCATCTATTAAGATTGAAGCTTGTATTTTGAGTGAAATTGGACTTCACCATTCAATTCTAAAAATTTGTAAATGTAGGAAATAAATTTAAAATAAAAAAAAATGCTTAAAATCAGGCCGGTAAAAATCAATCAAAAAAACATTAAAAAAAGCCTGTCCACTGCAGTATTCAGTAACAAGCGCTGATTTTTATGTAAAATGATTGTTACCATAATTTTATACATGTTTGAAAGTGTAGGAAACAAATTTAAAATGTCAAAAAATAATGAAAATTAAGCTCTTAAAAATCAATTGAAAAATATGACTAATTACAGTATCCAGAATGAACCGTTGAGTTTTATGGGAATTGAGTTTTACCATTAAATTTTACACACTTCTAAATGTAGGAAACAACTTTAAAATTTCAAAAAAGCATAGAAAATAAGGTACACACATGTATGCAAACAATTAAGTGAAAAAGTGATGAATTAATTAAAAAAAACGTGTCAAATGTGGCATTCAAGGTATAGTTTTCATTTTGGGGAAAAATGGTTGTTACCATCATTTTCTAAATGTCTTAAAGTGTGGGAAATAAATTTATAATGTCAAAAAATCATGAGAATTAAGCTGTAAAAAATTAAGTGAAAAAATGGGTCTAATTTCAGTGTTAAAAATGAACCGTTGAGTTTTAAAAAAAATTGGATTGCACGATTAAATTCTACACACATTGAAACCTAGGAAATAATTTTAAAATTTCAAAAAAGCATAAAAAATAAGGTACATACATGCATGCAAACAATTAATTGAAAAAATGAGTAAGCAGAAAAAAAAAAAATCAAAGTCATTTTTATGGTAAATGGACTTTACCATTAAATTCTACACCCTTCAAAGTGTAGGAAAAAATTTTAAAAAATAAAAAAAACTCGAAATTAATGGCAAAAAAAAATTAATTAAAAATGCGGGTTTAAAAGCAGAATGCGCGTGTGCTGTGCCGCAGCAAAAGCGCGTCAAAACGCGGAAAATGCGGGTTTTTTTATTAAGGCCCTTTCTCTTATTTCCTTGCTGTTTTTCATTCTTACTGATTCAAATTGTCTCTCAGTCTGGTTTTGGTTGTTTAGAAATAAATCCTAATTTCAATAATTCTAAGATTTCTTTCTATTTTCTAAGTTATTCATTTATTTTGTGTATTTTTATAGTATTTACATAAGTAATAGTGTTTCTTTTACTTATGTAATATTTTTACTTTATGCTTTTTTATGTAATTTATTATTTTATTTTCTTATGACAGGTTGTCTCTGCCATAGTAGCAAGCTGAAAAATTTCCTGCACCCTTGACAACAACAACATACCCAATTAATGTGAACCCTTTGTGGAGCACTGCACACACACCACCACAAAAGATCCATTGACAACACAATAATCAAACCCAATCACAGCAACTCCAGCGGTCCAGGGGCAACTTGCTTGAGTCATGCAGGCCGTGACCTCATGTCACAGAGGTCGCGGTTCAGTTCCAATAATGGACTGGCAGTCCTCCACCCTCGGACCAACCAACCTCCCCAACACCATTGACCGGCACACCACCTCCCCAACATGAACAAACAACATTGGCAGATTTGGGGGTGGGATTGATCTCAATGACAGTTTTATTGGCCGGTTTGGGGGTTGCATCATCAGTTGGTTGTTTGTTATTCGGTGTATCATTGTGTGTTTTTTTGGAGGGGTTGATTTTCTTCTTTTTTTTTCTTTGGAGAACTGAGAGTTTGGGTGGGGGTGTTTGTTGAAGATTTTGGATTGATGTCAGCCATTGTTGTGGGGTGCTTGGTTTTGTGTGTGGGTGGATATAGGAATTGCAGCCAGGAGGTGACCCGCAGAAGTCAGAGGTCAATCGCGGGTTGGATCACCCCCGGGGATGTTTCCAGGGTCGTTCCACGGGACCGTTGGAGCACAGAATTGCATTCAGGGCAGTCAAAGTTTTCCCCTGAACACCCAATCGCGGCTCTGTTGGAGTTGCTCTCAGGCTTGCCTTGTTGCCCCTGGACCTTTGTTGCCTGGCAGCTTAGAAATTCAGTGTTGTTGACCCTACAGTTAGCACCCTCATTGATGTACACACCTCAACTCAACTAATCTTGATTGCAACAAAACAGGGTAGACCAACAATTCAACTTCACTGAATCCGCCTCGCCGCCATGTCCATTGCCTCTCCACCTAGAGATCAGTCGTGGTTGCCACTACAATTAGTGCATCTACAAAAAGCATCTAAGTATTTGACTCCTAAGCAAGCAAGATGGGCAGCCTTTCTAGATGGCTTTAACTTTTTCATTTATCATATCTTGGGAAAATCAAATCTGGCTGACACTCCCAGTAGGCATCCAGATAGATCTAGTTGAAGGTAAAGCAGAAATACTTCAAGAAAAAGTAATCACTGATAAGTTGCATAATCATAATATAGAAGAAATTAACACTGATAACAAAAATGACGGATTAACTCGTCAATATTTCTATTTTCAGAAGCCATCCAATGATAAGGTATTTACAATCACAATACGAAGGACTGAGAAAGGAAGAAAAGGAAAGTTTGATCAAGATTGATGGTTTATGGTGGTACAAGGACGGAGTATATTTACCCAAAGCACACCAAAGTAGGATTCTTCAAATACTACACAACTTCCCGGTAGCAGGTCATCCGGATATAGCTAGAACCCTAGCTCTGGTTACTCATACTTTTTCTTGGCCAGAAATCAGAAGAGATGTCATAGCTTTTGTAAAGTCATGTGATTCATGCCAAAGAGTTAAAGCCCCTTGTTGATTAAAGGAGGGACAGCTGGATCCAATCTCAGTCCCTGAAAAGCCATGGAGTATTATTGGCATGGACTTTATCACCAAGTTACCTTCTTCAAGTCAATTTGACTCTGTCATGGTCATTATTGATCTTTTAAGTAAGGTCTCTCATTTTATCCTGTGCAAGGAAAGTTATTCCGCTTCACACATTGCACAGTTATTCAGGACACATATTTTTTGGTTACACGGTTTACCAGAGAAAATTATTTTGGACAGAGGATCAATCTTTGTAAGTGAATTTTGGAAGGGTCTTATGACTTCTCTTCAAATTAAGATAGGTTATTCTACGGCTTATCACCCTCAAACCAATGGACAAAACAAACGCATGAATCAAATATTAGAAGACTATCTTCTTCATTTTTGTTCCTATTATCAAGATAATTGGGATATGTTACTTGATTTGGCAGAATTTGCTATGAATAATTTGGACTCCGTATCTTTGGGCATCTCTCCTTTCTTTTTTTCTTATGGGTTCCATCCAAAGAGAAGTGTTCTGGCTAACGGTTCAAGGGTAAAACCTTTAGATGACTTCATCCAAGATTTGCAGCACATTCAAGAACAAGTGGTGGAATGTTTAATACAGGCACAAAATTATGATCTACATAGGTGACCGGCATTGATTTATAAGGAAGGCGACCTATTGAACAGCAAGCTTTATAAAGTAGGTGATATCAGATCACTACAATGACTGATATGACCAACAAAGAATAAAAGAACAAACCTGAATCAATTGCTGAAACAAAGATGAGACAAGTTAACATGAGTAGAAGGAAATGATAACTAACCTGTAGTGAAAGGTTTGAGCTTTTAGTTTTAGTGAATTGAGTTGTGAGAGTCAATAAGAAAAAATTTGATTGAAGAAGAAAAAGAGAGAACAGCACAAGCTAGCAAACTCAGAGAACTAGATCATCAAATAGGTTTTGGAAGACAACCAATACTTTTAGGGGCTTGGCTAATTGACTCCCAAACCCCCAAAACCCCCGGATTTCCCCCAAATTCCCCGACTATTGGGAGTCAATCGCCCCAAGCCCGTCAGCGGGTTTGGGAGTTGGATCCCCAAGAATTTTAAAAAAAAAATGAAATCCCCGGTGGGGAAGGGAGTTGATGCCCCAAAATCCACTGGTTTTTGGGGGGTTGGCAAACCAAAAACAGCCCCTGAAGGCCAGGAGGGAATCCTCCTGGCCATTGAGAGCACACTCTTGAGTCCAACACCAAGCTTTGCCCCTTTTGGAGGGGTGGGGGCGTGGGCGGGCGGGGAGTGTCAACAATGGGCGACCTCACACTACAAACAATACCGATTTTGCCCCAGGAAAAAATGGCAATTTGGTTGGTGGAAAATAGGTCACTTTCCTGAGCATTTTTTTACAAAATGACTCAGGAGTAAAAATTAAGCTAAAATGAGCTATTTTAGCCAAAAAATAAAAATGCCTCATATGAGCTAAAAATTAATTTTGGAAAGTTTGAGGCATTTTTATTTTTGGGCTAAAATAGCTCATTTTAGCCTGATTTTTACTCTTGAGTCATTTTGTAAAAAAAGCCTCAGGAAATTGAACAATTTTCCCCACTCAAATTGCCATTTTTTCCTGGGGCGAAACTGGTATTGTTTGTAGTGTCAGGACACAATTCAAAATTTCATTTTATTTATTTCCACACAGATTCTTGTAAATAAAATAGCCAACAGATCCTGTTTTTTTATTTTTCTAGTTCTAGATATACCCTTTCTAAAATTTCTCTCTATAGTCATACATACCAGTAGTTTCTACTTTTATTATACATATTATGTAGTTAGGCGCGTCGAGGAGTTTTGAGATCCCAGTGCGCGTTGAGCGAACTTTTATCTTAAATACCTCTCTCTCTCTTGCTGAACTCGCTCTTGTTCCCCTATGGGATTTATTTTGTTTTCATATTTCTCATATTACAGTAAAATCAACAAAAAGTCTTTTTTCTTACTCAAACTTCAGGATTTGGAAAATCCTCCCTGCACCCTGCCGTAACCTGCTTGCTAAAAAAAAAAATAGCCTCTGAAATCTCGAGAATTCTTTACAGGGAGGGGGAGGGGGTGCGATTATCAACGCACCATGGTGCCGCCGGGATGTGTGGCAGAACAGCGCCTTGGAGGCATCCCAAACCTGCAGGGCAGCAACAGCGCCGCGACGCCTATAAGCGGGCGCCGGACTCGACCGGGTGTGTGCACATAACCCGGATTATACATACTTGGCACGATGGTTGTCGGTCCAAGGCTTCCGTCTCCTGGAGGCGGCCGCCAGGCTATAAATGTGACTGCCAGTTACGGGGGCGCCGTTTCAGGTCACAAGGGCGCCACATTGACTGTACTTGGCGGCTGTGTCGCCTGGATTGCGGACCAACTCATATCGATTCGTCCGGCAGTGTAGTGCCCGCAGGTCCCAGACAAACCGCCAGAGATGACTTGAATACGGAAGCCCTAGGGGGACACCCATCGAGCCATCGTTTTTGGTTTTTGATTTTTGGTTTTTTTCAAAATACAGATCTACAGAGCAGTAATATGAACTGTACAATCATCCCTCAGGCTCTCCCACTGAACGCAACACCGGTGTATGACATGACAACACCGGTGTGTGATACAACACCGGTGTATAACACAACACCGGTGCATAACACAACACCGGTGTATAACACAACACCGGTGCATAACACAACACCGGTGTAGCAAGTGTTGAACAATTCATCAGAGTCCACTGTGTGCTAACCGCTCAGATACTGACTGGTTCTAGCCGGGCACTCTCAATGATTGGTTGGAACTGGTTGTAATCAATAAAAGCTGACCGCCCATGGCCAGGTTTATCTGATTGTGACTGTTCATGGATGAGTATTGAGAATGTGTACAACGATTGATGACCAGTCAGAGCCGGTCATCAACAGGCTATCGCTACTGATGACCGGCTCTGGCCGGTTAACTCTTATCGATGGCCGATCAGTTCCGATCATCAAGGGGAGTGCCTCCATGACCGTTTAATACCGGCCATGAGGGGATGTGTATCCCCCACCGTAACCGGTTGGCTCTGGTCATCAATGCTGTGCTCCAGTGTTGAAGTCTTCTGGGTCATGGATGAGAGTGTACACTTCCATCCATGACCAGTCAGAGACAGTCATCACTAGCAGTACCCTATTGATGACAGGATCTCGCCGCTCATCATTGGGAGTACACACTCTTATCCATGACCGGTCCGACACGGACATGGAGAGGAGTGTGTAGTTCCGGCCATGAACAGTCATCTGTTCTGCATGAATGGCTCTGACCGGTCATTGAGAGGACACACTCATCCTAGCTTATCACAATCCCCTCGTTTCAGGGGCCGGGGGCGCCTCGCGAAGCGATCCTCTGAACTGGCCCGACGAAGTTGGGGATTGTGTCAAGCTAGACACTCATCCGTGACCGGTCAGTTCGGGTCAGCTCCGGTAAGCACAGCGGTGATCCGACGGCAGTGTGTTATAAGGTGTTGTGTTATGTATGCACCGGTCTGCACCGGTGTTATGTTCAAGAGAAGCTGAAGGAAGACCATACAGGTCATGACACTGATTTGTAGATCTGTATTTTGAAAAAATCGAAAATCGAAAATCGAAAACAATGGCTCGATGGGTGTCCCTCTGGGGCTTCCGTACTTGAATGAGCCTTTCGCCCGTATCAAACAATATAAGGCTTGTACGCAAAAACGCAAAATGCACTACTGTTTTGCCCGCAGGCGGCGGCTTGAATAATCAGGTGACGACCGCATGCATGAATGTGTGCCTCATTGCGACCGGGGTGGCACTGGCAGTAGTCCACAGAGCCACAAAAGTCCACAGCACGATTTTCTGGCGGGACTGTCCCCTTGAGAACGAAGGGTAGCCTAGAGGAATGACCCAGTTGTATTCGTATGGGAAGATGGGCCACAGCTGATCCGATACATTGAAAAGGTTCAGGTAAACTTGCCTCTCTGGCTTTGGACCAATGCTCCTATCATTCGATATCCCTACAGACCTAGTTAAACTTCCTACCTGATCACACTTATCGGAAACTATTTCAAACCACGATCAAACATGTTACAGAGATTTCACATTACATCTGCAGTCATTGTTATGACTCTCTTCTCCTCTGTTCAACTCTCAGAATCGCGCCGACACTCTCTTGTGCGAAGAGGCCCAGGCCATGAAACCGTTTCGTGCGACGAATCTTTCAGTTTAGATCTGAGCGGGGATGTTTGTAAGCACCATCGACCAATGCCCGCTAATCTATGGTCGTCACCCCACCGTCCTATCTCCTAATCCGCCAAAAACCTTCCAAACTTCTTTGCAGATTGCAGAACAAACGACAATAAGCTGTTTAAGTGTTCCTTCGGTGATTGCCCCACCGGTGAGCTCATGGATGCCCGACTCAGCACTGAGAAAGATTCGCCGAACTGATCAGTTGTCATTTTTTTTTTCCTACTGCGTACTCTTACTGGATGACTGTCAGGTCATGCTTTTCAACTGCATGGTTGCCAAGCTTACACAGCACCTAAAGCCGAGTTAAACGGAATCTGGCAAGACATATATCCATATGGTTACTACTACAACACCGCCACTCCTACATTACTTTGTAAGTCGCTGTGATTCTGGATTGGCCTGATCGTAATTTGAATGATTGCCTCCAACGCGCATTGGTTTGTAGTGGCTGGTGATCGCGATGGGAATAACTACGGATGCGCACTTGATCAGAATATCAATCACCGGCATGGTGAGCATACTAAAATTTCAAAAGTAAAGCAAGATCCGCCAAACTGATCCAAGTTTTGCAAACGATTATGTAGTATGTAACAGTTGTACCGCGATGGAATGAACGAAAGCCAAACAGGCTCCGTTTGTCCGATTAAGCGAACTTGCTGCCACGCCAGCCCGTGGCGCCTCGTATAACCATTTGACCCAGAATCAGCAAACATTCTCGGTTTCAATTTTATTAGACGGGAAATGTCTTTCTCTTTTTACAAGCTACCACGCTGGTTGTCTAGGTGATAACTTCACACATTAAATCGTTCATCGACATTTTCTGGTAAATTGTCAACAACAATTGGAAGTAGTGTTCGAGAGAATTCAAACAACTGAGATAGCATGCATATCTTACTGTGTGTTAGTTCATCTATGGTAGTAAATAAAGATACGAGAAAGGAAAACACATGTGTACGTATTTGAAAGGAAAAAGAGTTTTACCTGAGAGCAATACACAGGTTGATCGTCTTGGAGTAGTAGATGAGAAAAGAATGAGAGGAGAGCATGGAATAATGGCAAAGGGAGTAGAGTATCTAAATACGTGAATCTCCTAAATGACAGTTGTGGTCAGGGGTCAGTATTGAGCTGGTGCCTTCATTGGATTGTTGTGACTCTTACTAATTCACAGCTCAGGGTGTTGTTTTCCTCCTGGAAAAAGTATTATAAGATGCTCAAATCTATGTGACAAAGTGGCGGCACAGTTACCTACTTATGCACATCCCAGTGTTGGTCCCAAACTTGGTTGTAGATTTCATAAAGTAACTGCTCACCTATGTGACAAAGTGGCAACTGTCAGCCTATGTAATGCCAAGGAATAACCTTCTAGCTACACACTACAAACATTGATGGATTTCATCCAGATGAAATTGATCAAAAAGATGAAATCCATCAAAAAAAGATGGAATTGATCAAGAAAAAAATCACTATTTTGATTTTGTATATATATTTATTGGCTTTTTTTGTTGGATTTCATCTTTTTTCATCAATTTCATGCAGATGAAATTCATCAATATTTGTTGTGACACATGCACCAGGAAAAAACAATGCTCACCAGGTCACAGGTGACATTGTGCAGCATTGATTACAACTCCAGTGTAGCTCCAGTGGTACTGCAATCTAACTACAATGGCCCCTTTGTCAACGCTGCCACAGATACAATACGCTGTGTGTACCATGGAGAATTCTGCAAAGCTGCATGGCCAAAAACCAAATTTGTTGAATCTCCTTGCAAATGAAAGCAGATTGGTCAGATAGTTTTTTTTTATTGGGGCTCAGATACATAGTGATACATGGCAGATACGGGCAGATACCGTATCTGTGGCAGCGTTGCCTTTGTGCACTTCAGGGGGCTGAACTAGAGTTGAGCTGGGTACATACACCATGGGGCGGGTTTTTAGAAAACCCCCCCAGCAAACGGATGGTTTCCGTCCCGAGAGCCTGCGACTTGGTTGCGAAGCATCCAACGGATGATTGGGCACGCCTGGCATCATTTGGACGCTTCAGAAAGCGTCCAAATGATACCAGGCAGTGGAAACCATCCAGAGGATGGCTAGGAGACCACTATCCATTGGACACTCTTGATCGGTTGTCCAATGGACAACAGGAAAACCATCAATCAGAGTGTCCATTTGATGGTTTTCACGTGGGTCCACAGTTGAAAAAAAATTGGTCGATGGTCGAAAAATAGGCTTGGAGGGTGGTCGATGGTCAAAAAACCAAACAAAAATGCAACTGGGGGGATATCTATAATGCTTGTGGATGATGGGCATGGAGCCACATAGTGTAGTGGTCAGGTGCTCCCTTCTGCATTTGGCCGGTGTGGGGTGGCATGGGAGGCAGGTTGTCAGTTCAACCCTGCCTGTTAGTCATTTTTTGTGCCCAGAGGCATCCAAGCCTACCATCCAATGGATGGTTTGGCCCTACCATCCGGCTTCAGCAAAAATGCAAAGCGCATCCAATGAATGCTCCTTGCAGGGCCAAGGCCGGATGGCATCTGGTACATCCGATTGGGTGTCCAAATGCCATCCACCACGCCCGGTGGTGTACTGGGTAGCATGATGTCACTTGTCATCAAGTGATAATTGTTTTTTCCTGGTGATGGTGCAAAGTATAAGAAAGGTATGTGGTAATTTGAAAAATTAGAAGAAACAAATAGATAAACATTAAGGATAATATTTATTCATATTTATAGAGGGCCTGTTTTTAGACAGGGGCTGTTTAATTCCCTCTATAGATATCTTGTAATGGGCAGAGCATTTTGTAACCTAATAATAACTGGGGCCTGTGTGTGGGGGTTGTTGAATACCCAGTTCTTAATGGGGGGATAATTCAAGGTGAATTTAAGTACTCACTAGTAGAAAATTCCATAAGTATCTTGAAGTATTCAGGTGCAAAGAGACAGACAGTTGAATGGTGTGGAATTAGTGACAATTGTAATTGTGGTAATTTCAACTGAAGATTGCTGGATTTGTTGAGGCTTTTGAGAATAAGAATAGCTGTCCACAATCTTGGATGCAAGTTTAAGACTGGTGGAAAACACATAGTGAGTTTCTGGGTTATTTTAAAGCTGGGGCATCCTCTTTCAGGTGCTTCAACAGGCATTATTTGTACCTTTTGACTGCCCTGGGGGCGCTCATAGGAGCCAGTAGTAGCCTGTGGGCGCCTATGTTGAGATGAACACCCTGGAAACATGTGTGTTGGAAAGGATATAAGTTCATTTCAATATGACAAAAGAAAAGGAGAGAAAAAGAGAAAAAGACCATACCTGGAAACATGTGTGTTGGAAAGGATGAGGAAAAGAGAATCCTCCCAGGCACACATGAGTCCAGTATATGAACTGAAACAAAACAACTGAATGTCACAGAGTGTGACATGAGATAAATGAAAGAAGAAAGAAGCACAATAACTACGGTGAACATGTAGCTGTCTATGACATGTCACAGTATCTGTGAGAGTCGAACTCACGACCTCAGCTAAGCTGAGACACATACTAGAGTGCTGCCTTTACCAACTAGGCTACAGACGCTTGTGACTGCCAGGGTTGTTGGGTGGTAGTGCTCATGGTTCGACATGTAGTGATACATCATGGTAGTTACAGGGGGGTCTGGTCTTACAAGTAAGCATTCACAACTTCATCCGGTCTCTATTGAAAGCGAGATATCGCTCAGGTAAGCATCTGGGCTCATAACCTGTTGAGATGAACACCCTGGAAACATGTGTGTTGGAAAGGATATAAGTTCATTTCAATATGACAAAAGAAAAGGAGAGAAAAAGAGAAAAAGACCATACCTGGAAACATGTGTGTTGGAAAGGATGAGGAAAAGAGAATCCTCCCAGGCACACATGAGTCCAGTATATGAACTGAAACAAAACAACTGAATGTCACAGAGTGTGACATGAGATAAATGAAAGAAGAAAGAAGCACAATAACTACGGTGAACATGTAGCTGTCTATGACATGTCACAGTATCTCAACAGCCTAATCACTTTAGCCATGTATTTCTTGGCAGTATTCTATACATGTAGTGCTATCAGCTGGTGGCTAATTGATAACAAACATTTTTACACTTTTTTAGCAAAACTTGGGAGGCTTTAACCTTTACTATTTCTTTAGAAATAGCCACGTAGTAAGGGTGTTTTTACCCCCAGAGCGCTGTTTCACTAGGAAGGAATGTTCCTACAGTCTTTTAATTTTTTTAAGGTGTTCTCAGGTCCTGTGTACCCCATGTACAGTATCCTCCCAATTGTTTATGACACATCGATTACTTTATTTAAAAAAAAACTAAAACACATGAAATTCTGAGTTTTTGTGGAGTGGTGGATAGGGGGATGATAAAAAGGAATATGAAACAAAAAAACAAAAAGCAAAATTCATTACATTTCAAAAAAATGAAAGCATCATTCAAATTTTTTATTTTCTTTAATAATTTTTTAAAAATACAAAATCAAGTGGGGAGGGTAGCTGGGATCTGGTTGATAATGATTATGAAATAAAAAAAGCAAAAAAATAAAAAATAAAGACAAAAAAAAATATTTGATTGGCCCACCAGAGGCCTCCACAACCAGGTGCATCCGGTGGGGTTGTTGCTGCTGGTTGACCTGAAGATGGGGCACCGTTGATGGCTGGGACACAGATGATCTTTTAGGATGATCGGATGGGCCATCTGGCCGAGTGATTGTGGATGGGCCGTCTGGCCAAGTGGGTGTCGGAGGGGAGCCAGCGACCTCCTCAACTGTATTGTGGCATGACATCGTCGACTTGGCAATCGGCTCATGGATGTGCCGGTCGTGAGGTTGGTTTGTCCTCGTATATGTCATGAGTTCCTGGTCACGATGAATGCAAAAACAAGAAAAAAAATCAGAAGATGAAAAAGAAAAAAGAAGAAAATAGCAATAGAAATGCAAACCTCATGAGTGTATCAATGCTGTTCAAGGTATAAATCTTGATCGGTATCGATGTTTTTCCGAGTATTGACTTCATTCGGAGGTTGATTGTTGATGATTTGGTGATCCAATGAGTTGAGGCAAAGAGGTTGACTTGCACACGCACACTGCAGTTTAGTGTGCGGGTGCAAGTCAACTTGTGACAGTTCACCCCCAGACATAAACATCTGGGAGGATACTGTACATATTTTTTATGTGTGTGGGGGTGGTTTTTGGCCGCTTTCCTCCATGGCTCCCTCAAACTCCAGGGGGGCCTGAACAGGGGGGCGCGGGCTTGGAGTTGCCAAGGCATGCGGGGGGGTTACATGTATATGTAACCTGGCTGGTGTCAAGGCGCACGGGGGCCAATTTGTATGTATGTAGCTATGCAACAATGTCACAGAGCACGCGGGCTTTGAGACATACATCACATACTCACCCTACATCCATAACTATACACCACACCTCAATTCTAAGTCCAGAATTAGGTTAAAAGCATATTTACTTGATTATATAAGCATGTTGCCTGGGCCTGGGTGTGTAAAGTAGCCACAGGGTATGTGCTAAACCTCTAGGCCAGGTTTGCGTAAAGAAGGAGTGGGAATTGGGGGTTATTGTAAGTGAGGTACCCCACCTAATTCTGGATTCAGAATCAGAATCTGTCACAGTATTTTAAGTTTTCCTAATGGTTCTCTTAGAATATCATATTTTTGGGATTTCTCTTTTGATTATAGTTATTTCTTTCTATTTTAATGTTTGTTTATAATTTGATATATATTTTTTCAATAATATTTCAACTTGTGAATATACACAAGTAAAATATTTTATTTGTTATTTTTTTTTATTTGCTATCTTTTTAATACTACTGACATGTTGTCTCTGCTCTAGTAGCAAGCTGACCTTCCTTACCCCTAGGATGAGTCTATAACTCAGAGGAGAGAAACAAAAATCAGTTTCCAGACCTCTTTGAAGCTCTTTAATTCCTGAGGTGAATTGCTTCATCATGAATATAATTTTTTGGCAACCATTCATCTTTATCTGCTGATTGGTTTTTCCATCTTACGAGATAAAGTATCACATCTTTTGCTTGTACTCTCTCCTTTTTATCTTTCAGGATTTTTTTGTACTTTAAATTTTTCAGCCTGTGGCATGTCAATCATTGGGATAGGTTCTATGGGAGTATCTTCTGTCTCTCCTGCTCTTTGAATGTATGGCTTTATCAAACTTACAGGGTGCTTCCTGGACAATTATTCCCTAAGTAACACTTCTACAGCATTTTTCCCATGTAGATTTTCAATAGTAAAGGGGCCAAAAAAAGAGGATTTTTAATTTTCTGCTTCCTCCAAGGTTATCAAAATTCACTTTGGACAATAGTACTTTATCCCCTATTTCAAACTCAGGTTCTTTGTGAATTTTATCCTGTCTATTTTCAATATATTCCACAGCATCCTGAACACATTTAGTGGTGTGTTGATTAGTAATATCCAACATTTTCTCAAAGTCAAGAGCAGTGGGATGGATGTGTGGCAATTGATCATCAATGGTATCTTTGGGCATTCTGTGTACCCAGCCTCTTTCTAGGACATAAGGAGCTTCCTTTGTGGAGGAATTTTTGCTACTATTATAATCAATTTCCAGGGCTGGTTATAAGCTTACCCAATCATGTGTGTGCCTGTCATTATTTTTAAATTCAAATGCAAAGGTGCAGAATCTTCCTAAAATATCCTCTAGAGTTTGGATCATTCTTTCAGCCAAGCCATCTGTTTGTGGATGATAACCTGTGGAGAAAGCTAATTTAGTACCTAACATGTCATGTAAGTTTCTCCAGAATTCAGTTGTGAATTTGGGGTCTCTATCACTAATGATAATTTTTTGTATTCCCACGTCAGCCATGAGTCCATTCCAAAATAATAATTCGACTTCCATAGCTGTGTCATCTTTATGGTTTGGGATGAATCTGGCTCTTTTGGAGTGCCTGTCTACAACTACTAGGACTGTCAGACTGTGTTTAACTAACCTTGACTAAAGGGGTAAGATGAGGTTGTTACTAGCAGTTTCATGGCGTAGAAAGTGATGTAAAAACCTGTAAGGATAATGTAAATACTCAATCAGTAAGTATAACTGAGAGTCTTGCTCAGAGGCGCATCCAAATCAATACTATTGAGTATTAATAGGCATTCAAGGAATGAGTATTAATAGGCATCCAAGGAATTACTCACTTGGGTTTGTGGTTTAATCCTTATTCAAGGATTGGGGATAACAGGAATGAATACCATATCCAGAATTGTGGATAGTGTATTCAGAACTGTTGAGAAGGGAAATTGGAATATAAGACTCCTATGCTGGAAAGCCCCAATGTACCACGTAACTTACCATCTTCAGCTAATCTACCCTCATCATCAGAATCAATTCTTGCTTCTCTGTCAAACTACCTCCTTGGCACAAGTAGCGAGTATATGGAACCGTTTCCGCCTTTGCAACCTTCCAGACCCAATTTGCTGGAACCGTAATCAAAATCTCTCAAGATCTTTCATGAGGCTTCCAGTGAGCAAAACCCCGGCAGAGTCTATCACATCATCTGGTTTGGATGGAACTTATTCACACCTTCTTGTGTATGTTGAAGCGTATGCCCAACCAATGTTTCACAAAGCCAGTTGAAAAAACAAGTTGGTAGAGTTGGGCCGACCAATGGATTGGGTGGGTTGGGCCGGTGTAGGCCTGTCCAATACCCCACCACATCCCGCCTGGGCTGTGAAACTCAGGGCAGATAGGCCAGTGCCAACCTGTTGGCAACTGAGCAGTCAAGCCAACACGGTTGAATAAAAAATATCAACCCATGGTGTAGTAGCATCAAACCCAACACTTGTGCTGTGCTTATTAGTGATTTACAACCACCAATAGCCTGAAAGGTAGATACCATCAGGTCTAAATAGAATCAATTTACAGATTAAAGTCTTTGTCCTTAAAACCTTGGGCTGGAAGAATTCCCCCTCTCAAATAACTCTGGCCCACAAGTGTAAGAACCCTTATTTGAACAGAATTGTTGTTAATTCCTCTCATTAATTTAGAAACCCACAAACCCAAGTGAGTTGAGCATTTCCTCACTTGGGGTGTATCTTCATCCTCCCTTGTAGGATTGATCTTACATGCCCAATTAAAGTTGGAAGAGTCAGTACAAGAAGAAGAATGTACCTCACTGACTCCTCCCTGTTTCTTTTACAGGTTGAGGGCATTTAACCACAAAAAATGCCCACATCTGTACCTTCTTATCAACAATCAGAGCACAGCCCTTTCAGGTTAGTGGTATAAAGACTGACACATGTCATACTATGTACCCAGCAAGCTCCAATTGGGGGAAGCCAGATAGGAAACAGAAGATCTTTAATTGACAAAATGAGTTGAGGGCTCAGAAGATAAAAGAGTGTGATTTCTCTGGGCATCCCAAACTCCAACTACCTTACCACCATTCCAACACACTTGATGTCAACAGGAGAGAAGAAGACATTGGAAAGAGAGCATATCAAAGCATAATTTAACTGTGATGTGGAGGAAGATTTGGGGGGATAAAGAGGAAGATGGAGGCTGACAAACTGAATGAGTTTAAAAAGAGGGGAAGATCACAGCAGAAGAAGTCTTTCTTTGTTCTGTTTCTTTTAGTGGTGTGTGATCACTAAAGGTACTGGTGTGTGAATAGAGAAAGAATAGATAGGCAAAAAAAAACAAAAACAAAGGAAAAAGATGTCAAAAGAGAAGAACAGGATTCGTGATCCCAGAACCGAGCCATAATAATCGGTTGTTTGACAAAGTAAATAAATACAACGGCTTCGAGTTGTCCAAAATAAAAAATGCAAAAGGTAAAGCAACAGAAAAAAAAACGAAGAGAAAAATGGATAAAAGAACAAGTGTGGGTTAGAATGGGATTGATTGTTGATGATTTCTTTTACCACTCTTTTCCGATCTTGAACGACCCTGTAGAGATGAGTGCAGAGTGAAAGATTGTCAGAGGAGCGGTGGAGACCAAGTAGACACTCAGATGAGTATTTAATCACTTTAGAGTGGAATTGGGGAATATATAACTCTTACATTCAAAATCAGCCCAGACTGTTCCATCGTCGTCGATTACCCGACTTCGAGCGGTGTACGAGCCCGATCGAGCCAGCATCCCGCTAAAAAAATGACGTCATGAGCGTCAGGTTGTCAATATAGGAAACGGAATACTAGTTCTGTAGAATATTCTCGACCAGGATGTAAACCGACCTGGGCGCTTCTTCACTAACGAATCTCTTGACGTGCAAGTCACTCGAAGGACCGTATGAGCCGATCATAGATTCGAGCTAGAAGAAAAATGGATCGAATCGATTAGATGAGAGTGTGTTTGTTAGAGAGACAAGAAAGAATGGAGGATGAGTTGTTTACTTTATCTAATTTGACTCCCGCTCGTTTAACGACCTGCAAGTATTTGACACCGCTGATCACACCACCTTCGACCTTGAAGGCGATCTCGACCGAGTACTCGGCCCCTTCTTTGATCGTCAGCGGCTCCTTCTTGTACTTCTGTAATAACTCTGGGTCCGTTAAATCCATGACGATCGGCTTGCTAAGTTCTGGTGAGTGTAATGATAAGGAACAGATCGAAAGCTGGATCGGATTGGTGTATGTAGATCATCGAGAGAGAACCAAAAGGATTTGTGGTTGAGTGATAGGGATCTTCAGGAACATGATTGAAAAGAGACTGAAAAAACAAATCGAGTGATCGAGTCGTGTAAAATCTACGCAAGAGCAAGAAGAAGCGAGAAGAAAGGCTGTGGTGTGGGGGGAAGGGGGGGAAGGATATACCGTTGGTTTTCCAGTCGAACCACCAGGGACGATCCCCAAAGATTCCTTCCACTTCCTCAAGGATTCATCTTGAGCATCCAAATTAGCATATTCTTCCAAGGTCTTGGCAACTCCGGGATTGTAACCGGCAGTTTGAGATGGTTTGAGGTCGTCGTCATCGACTGATGGCTGGACTGTATGTTGGGTTGAAGAGCTATGAGGTCACGAAAACGATTCAAACTGATCTGAGCCTTTGCCTTTCTCTGTTGTCTTGAATTAGGTTTTTACTTACGCCATGCTTGATGCTTAGGATGCGATGTCGTTGGTTGATTTGTAGTGGTTATGTATTTGAGAGGGTGTTTGTTGGGATTGGAAATGGATGCTGGGGAAGTTGGAAGTTGGATGGTCAAGAGGAGATCGACTGGAGTGTCGGGTCAAAGGGGGTTGATTAAAGTTTGGGGTTGATTAATCAGCCAGGACAAAACTAGGACAAAATGGTTAAAACGCACTATGTACAACAAGGATTGTGGCTACCTTGTTGAGCAACTTGAGACGACATTTCGAAGAGAAAGGAGGAAACTGACCGCATTCAAGGACAAACCTTGATTTGGAAATTCCCTCAAGAGATTCTCAAAGGTTTGCCAACTCCATTTCAAATAGCTCTCTGAGATTGGAGGACTTCCCATCAGTTTCAAAGGCTCTGTAAAGCTAGATTTGCAGGCTGTAAAGGTAACTTTTTGCTGGGAAAACAGCTTTACAGCCCATAAAAATAGCCCCACAGCCGGTAAAAATAGCTTTACAGCCAGTAAGAATAGCTTTACAGCGGGGTGTAAACTAAATCCAATGGGATTTGGTTAGTACTCCATTTGCAAAGTTTAAAACCAAAATTCATGAAAGACTCTCAACAAGACAATACTGGGAGGGTCCAGCAGATACTGGTAAGAACTTTGACTCATCAAAGTGGAGAAAATTCACCCTGTCCACTATCATGAGCAAACCTGTCACATAGCAAAAATTTAAGAGTTAATTTGTTACATTTTATACAATCACTTAGGTACCATAGCAACCAATTTGCAGCAATTAGGCTGCTGATTTTATTTCTCATTGGAACATTAAAATCACACACCAAAGGGTACTTGTTTTGAACATAATTAGTGGCCAATGCTGAGTGCTTTTGAGCATGTGAGGAAATTTGAATTTCATGATTTGAAAACAAAAAGTGATTGGAAAATGTTGGAATTTCACTTGACCTCTCTCTCTTTCTTGCTCAAACATGCTGTTCCTTTACTCTTGTGTCACTCATTTTATATATTCATTATGCATCATTGTTAGATCCCACAACTTGTGCTCCTTGTATCTAGACTACTTAACAATCACTAGATACTGGGATAATGAAATCATCAGTTCAGCTTATTATTGATCCTGAGGAGACACTTTAGCCTCTCCTCAGCCTTAACTGAGTGCACGTTAGCCTGCTTTTTGTAATTCATATAAGTACTTCAGACATAGTCCGCCTTTTTTGGCTCAGCCAACTTTTCCCCTCTCCAACCTCAATTCCATCAGAAAATCCAAAACTGGGGCTTCCAGCCAGGACATGTCCAAATGTCTGTATTATTTTATATTTCCATTTATAGAGATGGTCGCTTTGCATCCGGATATCCGCTGATATCCGGATATCCGCTCTTAATTTCAGTAAAATTGCCTAATTCTGCTGAAATTAAGAGCGGATATCCGGATGCGAAGAGACCATCTCTATCCATTTATAAGGTGATTTAGTTTAGTGGAATTATAATTTATGGTCAAATTCATTGTTCAAATCAATATTGTAAGTAATTCCATCATCCACGGAATAGTATAATTCTCTCTTGATGTATTTCCTTCAATGAGACAAACTAGCATGTGATTGACTGTGAGGACTTTTTGTCCTTCCCCAGTTCTTGACCACAGGCACAGGCAAGTTTCCTAGAACCAAGATCTTAATTCCAATCAAACCATCACAGCAGAGAGAAAATCTCATTAGTATATACATGATCAGAGAAAATAAGCTGGAGAAAGAATGAAACACATACCTAGACCACAGAGAGAGAATCTCTGCCATCTAGATAGCTGAAGAGGAATGCAGCTGAATGTTCTCCTCTAGCTTATGTCATCAGCCGTGACAGGATCTTGTGAAACCCAATGGAGGAGAGGGTTTCACATTAAATACATTCATCTCTCTTATCATTTATGTGCTTATTAATAAATAAGAGATATATCCTTCATATGAAGATTTGTTATATTCACCTCTCTATTAGACCCTGTTTGGACAATGCCGTTATACTTTATAAGTTTGAAATTTTGGTGCAGGATTGTATAAATATATATAATATATATATACATCATGCAACTTAGTGCTCAGGATGAAAGTGGGTGGGATCAACCCACAAGGGACCCATGACCTGTTGGGTCTTGGGGTGGGTTTGGGTCAACTTTCTGTGAAAAAAAATTATGAGTGACCTGACTGAAGGGTGACCTTGGGCAGCAGATTCTGGTTTTGGGTGAGCCCGAAAATCCAACTACCAACCCCCTTAAACTAAGTCAGATGTGTGAGAGATTTGTTGGCAAAAATCGTTTGGGCAAGCTTGCCAGGGGGCCTTATACCTGCAAAAATGGTGTGGCTGGAGGAGAGCAGGGAACAATGCATGGGTATATTAGCTAGTTGGTTGTGCAGAGTACACACTTCTCAAACTCAATTAGATGTGTGGTATTTTTGCCAGTGATGCAACTACACGCATGAGGGACCTTGCACAGTCATGCCACTTTCCTCAGGTGAGCCATGTACCTGAGCAATTTTGGCTAGACATACTTCATTGGAGGTTTTGGCTAGTTGGTGAGTGTAATTTGATTGTGTGAGATGCAACCTGCCAAACATGGTGTCAGACAACTGATCTGGTCTGATTGTGTCAGGAGCTAGTCAAGTGCATATACCTATATGTATAGTTGGAACTCCCCTCCCTATACTCAGAGGACATCCAACACCACTATCAACCCAGGGGGTTACATACCAAGGCTGGATCCACCTGTGCCAATTTCAAGTACCACCTCCTGCCAAACACATCTGCTGTGTAATTGATCATTCCAAATCTTCTATGCAACACAATTATTCTTCCATGCAGCCTAGTAAGACTGTAAGTAGTATGAAACAACTTCCAAGCCCTGGCCCCTATGGGGTTCATGATACAAATGTGAGCTGATGTTTCCAATTCCAATTGAGAAACAGGTATTCCTAAAGCTTCCATGCAAGTCTGGAGTCAGTTTCATTCAGATGGATTTGCAAACTAGTGACTCTAATAGCTCTGGATTGTCAGGGGCTGCAGTTGTCAAGTCAAGAGGGGGGTTACTATTGAATATTCTAAGCTTAACACCCCCTCCCTCCCTCAAGGCTTGTTGCATATGAATGAAGTTGCATATTCATGTGATTCTTTCAACAAGCATAGACCTGCTGACCAGCTGATAGCTCCTTCCAGATACAGCCACTCACCCAACTTGATAAGCCATATCTGTGAAAATCACCTCATCTTCTGATCCAATCTGGAATGAATTGCAATACAGTTTCTCATTTCAGAAGAACAGAGAATGTTCTATGTGAGATTCCACCCCAATGGGACGGAAGATGACTCATGCTATGGGTTTATCAGGCGAGTGTGAAAGTACTCTATGGACTTGCATCAGTTCTTGCAGGGCTTCACAGCCTCTGGTGGCCTTCCCCCTGGGGCTAAAATCCCTCACTTTTGTCTATAAAGGGAGGCCCCTTTCCCCTCTCCTCCCTGCCTCCCCTCCCCCCAGTTTCCAGCAGCCTAGCTGGAAGCCACACACCATTCTAAACCCTTACACAACTTGACCATCATCCCCCTTACTTAGATATACCTCTTAGACACCTAGCTTACATCAATACATACATACACCCCTCATTATACTCATACCCCTCCCATCCATTCCTCTTTCCTTTGTTTACCTTCCATCCTTGGTTGAGCAGTCTGCTGTTGTATGCACTAGTGAGAGCTTCATGTGCTGCTGAGTTGTACAGTACATACTACAGCTGAGCAGAGTCCATACAGGGGAGAGCAGAGTGGAGGGAAAGCATGGAGATCTCAATCTTCAACCATCCCACCCAGCTCACTCAGGCCGAATACCGCCACCTCCGCAAGCTGATCTCAGACATCGTCCATCAACCACCACTGCGCCCATCAGCAGACAGCCCAGCAGCCAACTTCCAGCTCAAGGCCATCGACAACAACAAGCCAGCCAGACTACTGACCAAGAGGAAGAGGGAACTCAGCCAGGCCGTCCAGCCCCACTGGGCCCTCACCCTGCCCACCATCGAACTCGGCAATGCACTCCTCGAGCTCCTCAACCAGCACTCAGCACCCAACCAGCATGGCTTCTCTCCCCAGGTCAGCTTCCGCCAATCCACCCTCAACACCAGGCCATTCCACAAGACCAGGAGGCCGACCATCAAGCGACCAGACCGGGGACTCATCGCCAGTCTACGCAACACTCCCTATATCTCCCACCCTCCAGAGGTGGTTGAGGCAGAGGAGGAGGAGGAGGAGGATGAGAATCAGTTGATCGATCAACTCACCCTCTCCAACACTCCTGCCCATCTGGCCTCCATCGACTACGGCAGACTCACCGATCACTCTCAGCGGGCTCTCTTCAGATCAGAGTATCAGATCTGCTTCAAGGGCTTCAAAGACAGAGCCTCAGTCCTCATCGACTCATCCACTCCCCAGATCATCATCCGGAGGGTCTACCAGGATAGGGAGGACCAGCTCACACTGATCGACTCGAAAACCGTCAACCGGATCGAAGCCGATCATCTCGTCGTCCTGCTCTTCTTAGACTACCCACCCACCCTCCAGTCTACCCCTCATGTGGAGGCTGCCGAATCAATCCGTTCCACCGTTTCGGGGATGTCCTATCTTAAGGCGCGCCAGGTATGTTGCTCTTGGACTTTTTATCTACCCCTCTCTCTCTCTCTCTCTATCCTGATCACTAACTCAAACTTCCTCACCTGCTCTATAGGTCTTGTCCGACAACTCAGGCGAACCGTTCATCAAAACACGACGATCGGCTTTCGATGATGACCAGATGAGGATTGCCAGCTTTGCCTCCCAGCTCATCAGGCTCACCTTTCTCGACGAAAGCCAGGCCAGCAAGTTCTTGGGCCAATGTGCCAAACTTGTCGTACCCAACAGCATCCCGATCAGACGCGACTTAGCATCTACCCCGGCATACACTAGTGCTAACTTGGCCCGACTCAACAGCATCATGCCCGATCTCGACTTGATCGTCAGCTTCCAACTCGAGTATTTGCTCTACAGCTGCCTCCTCAACCCCATAGAAATCGTCCAACTACGCCAATGGGTTGTCGACTTGGACCCAGTACTTGCCGAACGGATCCTCATCCGTCTAGGATCGGACTTGACTCAACAACAGCGACCTCAACCTGCCTCCGATGATCGCCAGGGCCAGGTGGCATCTGGCCATCGAAACCAGAACCTCCTGCTCTTTCCAGCTGCATTGGCGCATAAATTCCAGCATGCAAAAGCCATGGTGGATGTCAAGACTGTGCAGAGGTCCGAGGAACGAGTGCAAAGAGAAGGTATCTTCAAGTGTCGGACGGTGACCATCACACCGACGAGCTTGGTGCTCGACGGTCCGTGTGCCGAACAAGGGAACAGCATCCTCCGGTTCTATGACTTCAACAGCGCCTTCATCCGGGTCGCCCTACGTGAGGAAGACGGTGCGCCACACCGCTGGGACCGCAACGTCGACCTCCCTGAATTCTTTTCTCATCGATATCGTCCCCTGGCTAACTGCCTCCTCCTTGCTGGCCGGCAATTCGAGTTCTTGTGCTACTCCGCCTCCGCCCTCAGGTCCCACCAGGCCTGGTTTGTCTGTCCATTCATCCACCGTGGCGAGCTGATCACCGCTACCAAGATCCGCAATCGGATCGGAAGCTTCCCTAAAGTGTATGTCCTCCCTAATCCTCCCTACCATCCCCTTTCCAATCCTTGTTACTAACTATACCAACTCCTGACCTTTTTCACAGGATCAACATACCCGCCCGGTACATGGCCAGAGTCGGACAGGCTTTCACAACAACTAGGAAGGCGGTCACTCTCCAACCTTCCCAGATCAAATTGATAGAGGATGTCGAGCGCAACGGGTCAGTCTTTACCGACGGGGTCGGCACTATCTCTCTCTCCTTGGCGAAGAAAGTTGAACACGCACTCGCGGGCCCCACTGGATCCAAACCACCAACCGAGCTCCAAGCCTCTTGTTATCAGATTCGACTTGGCGGATATAAAGGTATGTTGCGCTTCCTTCATCATCATCTTCCCACTCATCTACTCATCGTATGAATACTATAGTAATTTGATCTCTAACTACAATCCCCACATGTTCTCTCATAGGAATGCTTTCGTTGGACACTACGTTGGAAGGCGATATTGTCAGACTTCGGCCGTCGATGAAGAAGTTCGAGGGGGAGTCCTACACGCTAGATATAGCGGAGAAGTTTGACCGACCGTTTCCGGCGTTCTTGAACCGGCAATTGATCAAGATACTGGAAGACTTGGGTATCTCAGGGCAGGTGTTTTTGGATGCGCAGGCGGAGACGGTGGCGATGGTAGAAAACTCGCAAGGGTCGATGAATCAGTCGAGTTTGGTGATGGAACGAGCGGGCTTGGGTAGTGCGGTAGAGCTACCACAGATCCTAAAGCAACTGGGACGACTGATGGACTCGGATCGACCCGAGGAGATCCGGTGCTCATTTGTCCAGGACTCGCTCGACCTCCTGGCTGTTCACTGTCTACGTGAGCTCAAATATAACACAAGGATCCCTCTCCCTGGGTCCTTCAATCTCGTCGGCGTCGCAGACGAGGATGGCTGTCTGCTCGAAAACCAGATCTTCGTCCCCATCCAACTTCCAGGACAACGCAAGTACTGCTTGAAAGGCCGTTTTGCTATCGCTAGGTCGCCTTGTCTCCATCCCGGTGACATCCAGGTTGTCTATGCTATCGGCGACCCTCCGGTTGGATCCCGCCGACTCGCAAGCCTTGTGAACTGTGTCGTGTTCCCAGTAATTGGTAAGTCTTTCCCTCCCTCCTTTCCTCTCTCAACAATCTCTAACAAAAAAAAAACTGACGTCATTCATCTCATTTTGTTGGAATGATGATAAGGTAAACGATCGTTACCCTCTTGTTTGGCCGGAGGAGACCTGGATGGTGATCTGTATACGATCATCACCGATCCGCAAATGGTTCCTGATTCTAGACGGATTTATCAACCTGGAAGTTACGAATCTGGACAAATGAAGACGACCGAATCACCATGCACGTGAGTGCATACCCAATCTCTCTCTCTCTCTCTTTAAGCACAGATCGCTCAACATCTTTCACAGAAACTGACATCTTTCACTCCGATCTCTGCGTGCATCTCATCTTACGTAGGATCCACGATGGAATCGACTTCTTTTTCCATTACATCTTGGACAATATCGTCGGTATGATCGCGAACAAACACACCATAATCGCTGATCAAGCTGATGAGGGGGTGTTGGATCGCAAATGTCTCGATTTGGCCGAGCTCCATTCACAGGCTGTTGATTATCCAAAGACAGGGTATGTAGTCATCACCATCTTTTCTCTTGTCTTGACTAACAACTAACATGGAGGCTGACAAATTTGCTTTATTTTTTTGTTATGTAAAAACACAGGATGGCGGTTCCGGTGACCAAGATACCCCGATGCAGCCCGAAGAGGCCGGACTTCATGTGTCCGGAATACATGTTTAATGATCATTTGTCTGACAAGGAGAAGGCTCAGCAAGCAGAAAGGACGTACCCGTCGCCGAAGATTTTAGGCCAACTTTTCCGGGCGATCCCACCGGAGCAGATCCACGCTTACCAGAAACGGGTGATCGATCGCGGCGGAATGAATCTCATCAAGAAGAGCCGACACATAAGCTTGGATCCGGATGGTTCGATCACCTGGCGACTCAGAAACCGTCTGATCCAGGAGAAGATCTTACGCACTTGCGGCGATAAGTGGAAGGATGAGATGGGCAGATTGATGGACGAGTTTCTGCTGGACATTGACAAGATCAGTCGGATCGATCGGCTCCACAAGCCGTCCTGCCCAGAACCATCGACGGAAGGCAATCGAAGCGAAGCGTTGACTGAGATCGAGATCTTGTTGGGCTTGATTCTCATGGACAATGGGAAGATGGGCAAAACGGTCAAGAAAGACTCGGTTCGGAGACTCCAAGCACATACCGAACAGCTCTTTGGCGCCCTCAAATCCAACATCTCTCGCCATCATCTTTCGCCCTCCCCCTCTTCTCCCTTCACTCTCCAAGCTCTTCATCCTGGCTTTCAGGCGTATCGGTTGGACGTCATTGGTCGCGCTTGGGCCGGCTGGAACCTCGTCGCTTCTCCGTCTTCTTCTTCCGATCACTCTGATCTCCAGCGTCCCTTCGGCGCTCTTAGCTTCGGATTGGTCTGTTTTAACCTCCTGGCTTCTTGCATCAACTTCGAAAAATAAAAATAAAAATAAAAACCTCGAAAACATCTCTCCTTTCTTTCCCTGTTCTACGAGGGGGGGGGGGGGTGGCGGGGTTGGTATTTGATAGTAGGACTATTACTTAAATAACACATACACACAAACACTTTTTTTCTTTCTTTTGGCTCTCTCTTTCTGTGGCTCTTTCTGTGGTTCTGTTTTTTTTTCTTTTTCTTTTTGTGGACTTGGGTCTTTCTCATTCAGGCTTCTGCTTTTTTTAGACTTTTTTTTTTGGGAGTTTGTTGTTGGGTTTTTCTTTCTGGGCTTGGTATCATATAACTACTCAAAAAAATGGAAAAAGAAAAAAAAAGACAAAAAAAATGAATGAAAAAAGAATGAAAAAAGAATGAATAGGATGAAGGAAAAAAATGTTGATGAAAACCACGAAAAAGAGATGCATTATGTCACGACTCACCGTTTGTTTGTTTGTTTGTTTGTTTTTCTGAATCAGTTAGCAGGAGTAGTAGTTGTGTTCTAGTTTACTGTTTCCTTTTGCTTCTTTAACCAAAAAAACCAAAAAACCTTGTTTTGTTTGTGAATATAAATTGAATGTAACCATTATTAAAAAAAAAAAAAAAAAAAAAAACTCTGAAGGAGACTCAGAGCCTGGCTGGTATGTAGCCTCCGCTGAGAGGCGCTCATTAGCAGGATGAAGAAGCGTGTCTCTTTAGCAGCTAGCCAATGCAGACTCGCAGAGTGGTTGTTTTACCTGGAGAGGTAGCAAGCACCCCATGAGCTCAGTGACACTACATAGTGGGGGCTCTACTTTGTATCTCTCCATCCAGAAGATCTATTCGGTTGCCAAGAATCAGTGACTCTTGACAACATCCCCCAAGTAACCTGTGGCTCATTTTTCCACAACCCCCGTTCATGATCATTGGGATCAGTGAGTTTTCTCAGCTCAGGTTCTGCAATTTGTGGTAGTGCGGCTGCCTGAGTTCTGAGAAAGGGGCCGGCAGTAAAGCTGTTTGTATGTAACAAACCGCGGGGGGGCGTTTTTTTTGGCACTCTCGCGCGGCTCATGTTGCTCTTACTTGAGCATGGCTTTGTTTTAAACTTTTAATTCAACATTTCTATAAGCATGAATCTGATGTATGTATGTAGGACCAACAAGAAAACAAAAAGGGAGAAGAGAAAGAGAGAGAGAGAGAAAGCTTCTGACCAGTCTGCACTGACAAAAGGCCATGAATACGGGAAGGTGTTGTTGTTTTTTTTTTCATTGGGTTTTAATGTGTGACGAAGGTGTTTTTTTTTTCATTGGGTTTTTTGTGTGACGAAGGTGACTTATAACATTCGTTGAGAAGATTTATGAGAGGCATCTTTTGGAGGAGAAGGAAGAGGACACGAAGCGGAATTTTGGGCGGAGGAAGATGCGGGAGGGGAGTCTAAGAACCGGTAGCCCGGCAGATGGACCGGGTTGAATGTGCGTTGACAGTCCGAGTATGCCGTGCCTAGCCCCGATCCGATCCCGATCCATACCGGGAACGCCCGTCCTTTTTTTGTTCATCACCAAATCAAATTGTTAAACGTTAGTCATCTGTTTTTCGTTGGTTATCAAATTTCTGGTGGGGGTCTGGTCCGGAATAGGTCGGCTTTCGTCTATCACTATGAGCTAGACTTGCTCATCCACAACTTGGCTTTCCCCCTCCGACGCTCCGGATAATAATAAGAAAAAGAGAGAGAGAGATGGGTTGGAGAGAGACAGAGTGCTTACTTTTGAATGCGATCACACTCACGATCACGCCTGCGCCGAACCCCATCCCGGTTTTAACGATAGCATTAGCGATACAAACATCAGTCTAAACAAAAAAAAAGTACAGATACCAAAGATCAGTTGCGATGTCTGTATATTATTCCAGCATGGACATACATCTTTTTTTGAAGGAAAGGGGGAAAAAAAAGGAAGCCAACGAGAAGGATGCGAGAGCGGGGGACGAACCTTTTCAGACAAGATGTTTTCGCTGCTCGAGAGTCGTTGAGAAGTCATCTTCCTTCTTTTTGATGATCGGACCCCCTCCCAAAAAAACGAAAAAAGTACGGAATGTGTCTTGTGGTTGGTCGTCGGATGACTGGTTATCCAAAGTAGCGTAATAGCAAGGAGGACGAGTTGTTCGTCTCTTCTTGATCGAGGAGAGTAAAAGGAGGATGCAGGGGAGCTTGCAGAGTGGTAATAGTTTGCGACAGAGGCTTGGTCAACAGGGAGCTGGCCGGGTGAAGAGGAGTCTTGGTTCGGGGGATCACGTGCGCACGACGTCACCCAGGCTGTAGCCATGACTCCCCGGGGTCGCGGGTTGTTGCCCAACAGTCACGACCGAAATTTGACCCTGCCATCATTTTATGCAGCAAAGTTCTGCGGAAGTACAAATTTTAAAATGATGCTCAGCTTGTATGTACTTACTTGACAAGTTTCTAATGATTCCTGGAAATGGCTTTCAAAGACTACAGATAGCTGCCGAAGTAATCAAACTGTCCATCTCAGCTAGCTGGGAGACAAAAAAAACTCTTTTTGAAGACATAAATGCAACACTGGGTCTCTACTTTACGATGCGCTATCTGCATTATCTCAGTAATGTAGTGCACTTGATTCCTTCCCTGATACATTAACATTATCTGTAGTAGCAAATTTTTCTTTCAGCCAGTAGTGTAATGGTGAAGTTTTTGTGTGTAATGAATGGATAAAGTAATGCATTATCAGATTATTGGCCAGAGGTTAAGCAACCCTAAACACATTTTAAGTGACAGAAAGCCTCTCTTTTTGAGCTTTGGCAGCAACACATGCCATGAATATCCAGAAAGTATCACATGTCTTACAGCTATTTCGGGAAGTCTTGTCCACTTGGACTCGTGAATTCTTTTTTATTTTTTTATTTTTTATTTTTTATTTTTTTTTATTTTTTTACTGAACTAGACCTGTCAGAACTGAACTAGTGATGACAGCTGTAGTTCAGTACAAAGAAAAATTTAAAAAAATTCAGAAAAATAAAAAAATAAATTCAAGAGACAACTGGACAACCCTTTCCAAAATAGCTGTACCAATATTTATGTTTTTTTTTTCAAAAAAAAAATCTACAAGTTGCTGATAGTGTAATGAGCATGAAAAAACAATTCCAAGGCAAAATGGATAATGTAATGTGCAAAAAATTTCCAAACATTATGGGGAAAGTAATGATAATGAGTGGAAATTAACTACTTTATCTGTACACTACCATTACGGGTAATGTAACTACCCAGCGTTGATAAATGTCTTATCTAAAACATGCAACATTGATGAATTCAACAAGCACTTTTCCAGCAGATGGCTCAATGGCTTGCTGATTTGACCTTGGGTTTTTTTTTGTTCTTCTGGGTGGTAGGAAAATTCAATAAGGTAAACAAAATCTATTACGAATTTCAGTCAATTTTAAAAATAGATACACAAGTAATATAAAGATAGCTTCAAGAGTTTATCGTTCAAGATATATACATAGACCAAGACAGCTTTGAACAAAATACCATTTGGACCAAAAATCAATCACAAGAAACAGATGGATAATATTATGGGGGAAGAAGAAGAACGTAGTCTTTTTGCTTTTGTTTTTTCTGCATGGGAGAAGACATACAAAAGAATACAGTGAAATCAAAGAAAGACTTATGTATATGAGAAGATGATATAAAATTGAGGAAATTATATATATATATAGAGAGAGAGAGGGTTCAACGCTTTATTCTATCACCAAGAGCAAACAAAAACGATAAGGAGAAAAACATGAATAGGTTCTTAATCGGAGCGGGAGCAGGCACTACTGACGGAACCAGGCCGCTGACTCAACTCGACCAAGGCACGCAACATCTGTTCTCTGACGATGTTGAGGAGCTCTTCGGGGGATTGGCCGGGGCTGGGATGGATGGGCTTCAAGACTTTCAGGATCGGCCGGCCCCGCTCGAATTTCGAGGCCTTGGAGCCGTACAGACTCGAGTAGTTCTCACACACGATCGGGATGATCGGCAGCTGCGATTGGATCGACAGGTGGAACGCTCCCTTCTTGAACGGTAACAGACTCGGCTTCGTCGTATTTGATCTCGTCCCCTCTGGAAATATGAATAGATTTAACTAAAAAAATAACATTCATTTGATGTCCATTTATTCAAGTTGGTCATGTCAGAAAAATTCAAATCCAAATTAAACATTCACGATTGGATTGCGGTTGTCCAAAATGTAGAGGAGAAACACTCACGCCATATTTCTTCATATCTGCCCCGACTTTCTGGAACGTTTCTAGAGCGGTAGTCCGATTATGACGATCGACGAAGACCGCCCTAGACAGGGCCATACTAGCATAGAAAAAAAAAAAAAAAAAACAGGGGGCACAAGCGAACTCTCAACAACAACCATAAGAAAAGAGCGGGTTAGGAGGATGGTCAAGATGAAACTTTTACCCAACTATTGACCTAGAAGCGGGGTGTATTTGAGCTCTTTTTTGGCCATGACTACGCATGTTTTGGGGAAGATTCTTCCTAGGTATAAGATATCAATCTGAAGGAAATACAAGAGGAGGGTCAATGAATCAGATGAAAGGTTGAGAAAGATAGAGAGACTGACCATGCTTTGATGATTTCCGACCAAGACATGGGATTGGCCGCGATAACAAGGCTCGAGATACTCCTCGCCCTCGACGATGAATTCCCAGCCGATGATAGGACCGACGAGGTTATAGAAGGTGCGTGCGACGAGCCACTGGATGTTTTTCCTCCAGCTGGGTCTGACGATGGGGACGACGAGGCCGGCGAGGACGCCGGTGAAGGAGCCGATGGCGAGGCCGATGACGTAGACGACCATCCGCAGATAGTATCGAGACCGGACACTGAACGGACTGGAGAGTAGCAGAGGGCCGAGGACCAAGCCCAGCGTCGTGCTCAGACGGCCGCTCGACGGTTGAGCTCCGGCGACCATCGTCTGTTGTGGCTGTTGTTGGTGGTGTTGGGATAGTTGGAGGAGGTTGCTGAGGCCGCTGTACCGCGAGAGGAAGCTGACCATCGTCGGTGGGAGGAAGGAGATCGCCAGATAGACAATTATCAGACTGGGCGGTATAAGCTGCCAACAATTGGCCATCCGATTCTAATAAAATATACAATAGCATACATGCAAATACCATCAGCAGGTTTCTCTCTTATAACTGAGAGGTTTAATGCAGATACTTACTTGATGATTGAACTTCTGTTCGCTTTGAAATTCACTCTATGTAGAATTCAAAGCCGGATGATTGGATATGGTTATGCAGTGGGTAAAACTAAAGCTGATACCAAGCAATGTTGTTCTTCTTCTTCTTCAAAGGAATCGACCGTCTCGGAAATATTGTGTGGTTCTTTTTTTTTTTTTTTAGCTTGACTCTGGGGAAATTAATTAGAAGGTAGTCTGGGGAAATTAATCAGAAGCTACAAATCTGGCGCAGTTATGTAAAGTTTAATCATCAGCTTGGATCAGATCAACCTGTTCCTCTGATCACCAGATTTCGATCAAAAAAAATGAGACTTTCTTGTGCTGTAATCAGATCTGAAGATCGCTCGCACAGATTTGATAAACAGCCTTTCTGACAGATCAAATCACAAACCTAACTGATCATCACTAGAAGCATCTTCAGAATTCAGGACCAAGACTACTGACCCACCTGACCAGGCTACCACAAGACATGGACGAGTCCATTCAACAAGCAAGACGACAGCAGCATGCAGGCTCTGCTATTCAAAACCGGATACTTTGACGACCAACAATACCCCTGATCAGCATTTCTCATCACAACCCTCTTCCTCAGATTACTATCCGATCGATTCGAGGCTCATAACCCGCCTGCAAGAGTCTGCCCCAACGAACTGCTTCAACCGCTGTCAACCTCGATCTGTTGGATCTTGTACATAATCGACACTCTTGAAGAGAGATGGAAACTCTTGGACCTGCATCCCAATCACCCCTCTGGAGATAGGTTCCCTTATTTCTGACACATTTTGGACTCTGCAATCGAGAGAGCACAGCCGCATAAGAACTGTGCTAGCTGGCTACATGCTTTTTTCGATTTAACGGGAGTCTCAATAAAGTTAAGTAACCCTCATCATCAACCTCATCATGATCATGGGACTCAATCTATCCCACTTGATGGCTCTCCAAGGTCCATCACACCACTTGGAAAAACAAAAAAAACTTCCAAGAAAACAAGGGGGGGAAAGATCAATTCAGATGTGCTTGGTAAATAAATACATGCACCATTTGGCATCGTTAATTGCATGATAAAAGTGGGAATTCCGATGATTAAGTATGTCATCAATTGTGGGGAGGAGGGCAAGATGAGGAACAGTCAAGGTTGGATATTCTTCCAGGAGGCTGTTTTTTTCTCAAATAACTTGAAGCCAGTTGGTCTTGTTGACACACTCCTCAACTGATTGTCCAAACCCTCTATGCTCTTCTTTGCAATAGGAACAAGTAATGCAATGGAACTGGGGCCAGTGAAGACAACACAATGGGGCAAGATGGGCAGACGATTCCTTCCACTATCATTGCCCTGGTACATGTGCTCCACAAGCTGCGAGATGCAAGTCAAACAATCAGATCAAGTACTCTGTCTGCTGCACACAAAAATATAAACCGCCAAGATCACTGGATCTTTACATGCAGTGCCAAGTTTTTGGGGCTCATCTCATCAGACTGATCAGTCTCATGAAGAATCAGTACATTTATTGTATCCTTTAAAGACGGGCAAAATAAGTTCTCATCTGTCTCATTTTCTAACATCAATTACACTGTGAATGGGTTTTGAAGATCAACCCATGAGGTCTCATCCCAGCTGTTTTTTTTGAAACAAAAGGTTACAAAATGATCTGTGGCCTTGAATACTTGCCTCTGAATAACACAACTCTGTTTTGTGATTGGATTGTTGGGGGGGCGGGCTTGTCACAGATTCCTTGTATGTATGTATGGGCCTGAAGAACAGATTAATTTTTTCTCTGGAATAGTTAAACTTATTGCATAACTTTCTAAAGCATGGTTTTTTCACCTTTTTTTTATTATCAATAGGACAGTTCATGTCTGTTGAGCTTTGAAGCAAATCTAATGACATTTATCATTAAAATTTTACAAATTTGTCAAAAATCTCAAATTGCTCCAAACCTGATGATTCATGAGATTTGACCAAATTCATGAAATTTTATCTACAAATGTGCTAAATAAAGCCTTGAACTTCAGACGCGAACAGGCCTAATAGTAAGTAATTTACTCTCCTGAGTCCTGTCAATGTAAGAGATTGGAGGACTTCCTATGGCCTGAACCACTTGATTTAGAAGGGCATCCTGGATGTTATTTGCTGGCAAAAACTTGATCTTGATTTATTTTCACCTCCAAAAAATGCTTAGGACTTCCTTACAAATTAACAGATTTAGATGATGTTCCATTGATAACAAGCTTTTTTTCATTTGTTTTGGTATTTGCTCCCAATCTGAAAGCATGTTTTATATTCTGGTAGGGCACCATACCTTTTACAGAACTCTTTTTATTTGCTACTGGTTGAGAATGTATCAGGTTTTCTTTTCTTCTGATCGGACTCAAGCAGAAATCAAGTTGCTCTGTTCTGTGTTATTGCTGCTGCCCGTCCGCAGCAGCATGGCTTATGCAAACCGACCGAATTGCATAATCGGCTTTCGTCGTGCTGTGCTGATCGGAAGGACCCTTCTCGGCTCGAAGTTGGACTTTCGCCTCAACATCAAAGCCGAGCAACACCACTTCCCTGGAATCGTCCGGACCCATACAAACTATACCTCGTGGTCGTGACAAGCTCTACAGGAAATCTTCAGGATGGTATGCCCAGCCAGTTTTCACACCGATTCAGTAACCTCAGATTGATCGAAAGCCCCATCATTTTCTGTATGATGTCGCAATTCTTTAGTCTCGGATAACAACGGCGTGTTGCGGACTATCACGATTGCCCCGTGGAGCTCTGGCCCAACCCCTCTACCGGCATCTACACCCCAAATCGAAATCGCCATCGATCCAAGGAACGTTTTCGTACGCCACCCAGGCTCCCATTCCTAGCTCGGCTACCACTCAGAAAGCCCCAGTAGGTGCTGCCAAGACTGGATCGGATGTCGAGAAAGTTCAATTCACACCAAAGATCGAAGAATTGGTTCAAACTATCAGTCAATTGAGCTTGTTGGAGGCCGCTGAATTGGTTGACGCTTTGAAGGTGAGTAACTGTTTGGTTTACACGGGGAAAAACGACACTCGAAGAGAATGGCGCGAAAAGAGAAAAAACTTGCAACCTGATTCAAAATGTTAAATATTCGTTGGCAGTCAAGACTGAAGATTACCGAAGTAGCTATGCCTGTCCAAGCCCCTTCCAGTAGCGGACAATCTAGTGATGCTGGAAGCGCAAAAGAAAAGAAGGCGGAACCTGAAAAGCCGAAGGAGAAGACAGTCTTCAGTCTAACCTTGACACAAATCGATGCCACCCAAAAAGCTAAGGTCATCAAAGAAGTCAAGACTATTATGCCCAACATGAACTTGGTCGAGGTAAGATCTGTTTCGCTCGCTTGAAGTCTTTCCAGATCATCCTTCTTTACCACCCCAGGTATGGAAGACCCAGACATAAAAGAATTGACACTCATGTCGATCGTTTGGTGGTTATTGTTATACAGGCCAAGAAATTCGTGGAAAGTTTACCCAAACAACTCAAAGAGAACGGAACGAAGGACGAGATTGAAAAACTAAAGAAAGCCTTAGAAAGTGTAGGTGCAACAGTCAAGGTCGAATAGATGTCGAGAATGTGATAGGATAGCGTAGCGATGGTGCACCCTTATCAAGACAATAAAAGCCCCGATTTCGTGTGTAAAAGTGAATGAGTTGAACTCCTTAACTCGACTCAACCATTAGCCGGACGTGAACTTGGAGCGCTCTTGAATGCAGCTGATTGCACCAACTCGACAATCCAGTCGACTATAATTCTTACACCATTATGCCATGGATCCTTCACTTTTGCCGCTTATCCAATCTCTGTCTCTATGAAGCAATGCAGTTGTAGAAAGTTCTTCTCATCGATTTGGCTTTCAAACCCAGGTTTCAAATGTATCTCATATCTCCTTGTCGCTCGAACTTATCATGAGATGAAAGGCTATATAAGGAGGATCTCACCTTGGAGTAGAGTTCTAGACACTCTTGGCCGTGTTATCAATTGCTCTGAGAAGATTACACTTGCCAATCTGATCTGAATGGCTCATTGTTGCTGCATGCCAGGATCCTTATATGTTTAGACTTTCCAAGTGAATTAAGGTACATAATCAGATCAAGGATTGGGACTCCTGCATATTCCAGCTGGATCAGCAAAGTTTGGTAATTTTGCTGGAAGATCAGGTTCACTTGTACTAACACACTGATAATCCAATATAAGATCTGCTCAAAATCTGGTACCCCTCAGTTCATGATCACATCATTAATGCAAGATCATCAGATGCATTGTGATCCATCAGCATGTGCAGAATTAGGGGATTATAAACATTGTCCCTATACTCTAGTCAGAGAATCCACAATGACCCAAGTGAATATTGAACAAAGTCTTGATAGCTTCAAAGCTCACACCTTAAGGGCTCATGTAAAAACCAGTATTATTCACTGTGAAAAACAAACCAATTGCTGAAATTGTTAGCATTTAGGTGCTATCTATGCCGCATCCTATTTGGAATTGAAAGCTGTGACATTACTTTAATGATGGGATGATGGGGAGGAATTGGCTAGTACAACCAATGAAATTAGCATCTATCCCTCCAATGTTTGGAAGGCAGTTGCGCTGGATAAGCTTATTTCCAGACAGTTTTGATGCAAGGTTCAAGCAACGCTGAAGCAGAGACAACACATGTATTTGGTATTGTCTTTTATTGTCTTTATTTAAGCAGAAACAAGAGATGCATTTGGTATTGTCTTGTATTGTCTTTATTTAAGCAGAAACAAGAGATGCATTTGGTATTGTCTTGTATTGTCTTTATTTTGAGCCTTATACTTGGTATCAGTATTTCCTTGGTTGGTGAGAAAACCCACTGTCTCGGATTTGGATTTACAAATGCAAAAAAATGTCTTTTTTTTTTTTCTTCATCAATACGGCCAAATATCATGTGTATCAAAGACGTTTTTGGTGGGATCATCCCTCTGAGACAATAGAGAATAGGTGTCTCACTTTCCAAGGACAATGCATGTGTATTGTCTCAGGAAAGTGAGACAACAGAAATCTGGTTATTTTGGGTATTCAAATACTAGTTGGACAATACAAATACACACCTGATATTGTCTCATCTTTTCTCTGTGTCAGTGTTGGTTCAAGGATGTTTTCAATTGCATTTTCTTGAATGCAAGATGTTAAATGTGTTCAATTAATTTTGGAAACTCCTTCTATATCTTGTGAGTATGATTTCCAACTGAAAATATAAACATATATGTATCAAATGTTGGAGTAGTGTTTTGTGTGCTTCTTCCTCTCTCTCATGTCACAGGTTTTGACACCTTTGTATCTGATTTTTCCCTTGGTGATTTGGAACTTCTTGGCAAGGAGTAAAGAGCTTGGGGGGGGGTATGAATCATCAATAAAACAATAAAATAAAAACAGTAATATTATTAAGTGGTGTGGGTGAGACTGCCCTCTTTGTCTAGCTTGTGGGTGAGTTACACTAAGAATAATAATGTGGCTAACCTTTAGAATTTATCTTAGTGGTCATACTACTTGTTGATGTTGAGTTGTTTTATTATGGATGGATGGATGGCCAAGAGCTTCTGATGTTTTGGGTTATCTGTAGGGTTTCTGGTTTATTTCTGGTTCAAATTAATCTTTCTGAATTCTCTGGTCTGTGAAGACTATTTCTGGATCTCTGGTTTAATCTGAGTTCTTAATAAAGCAAGTCTTTATTTCTTTAATATCTTTTGAAATGGGAAGGAAGGAAGGAAAACATGGGCCAGAAGGGCCTCTATTTATAGGCAAAATCTCTAGTGTGCATGTGAAATAGCTACACTGGATCCAATGATTGAACTGACCCTGAATGATCAATTTATGGGGATTAAATGATGTACAGCTGTGAATTTAATGATGTACAGCTGTGTAACTAATGATGTGTAGCTGTAGAATTGATAATCTACTGCTACGTGATCAATGATGTAATCTGTGTGATTAATGCTTTGTATGTTGTGAAATAATGATGAGTGGCTGTAAAATTAATTATGTAAAGCTGTTTTCAGGCTTATACTAATTACAAGAATTGAATTTCATAGTGTTATAGCCGTAGACTAAGAAAGAAGATCAGAAGATGATCAGTTTTCCTTTTGATGCTCAGGTCAGAGGCTCTTGAGACTTACTCAAGCTTCTTGCAGCTTTTGGCTAGGGCAATCCAAGGCTCAGACTGATAGTTGAGTTATAAGGGGGATTGGATAACAGTCAATTGATAACAATCCAGTGTTACAAAAGCTTTTACCAAGGATGGGTTGTAGGAGGTGCTTAGTACTATAGTAAGATATAAGGTAAATATCCCAAAACAGGAGGTATTTCTAAAGGATTATTTTAGGGAATGCTCTTTGAAGTTGGTGGATTTATTACATATCTAATAAATTTCAGCTATTTAAAACTGGAGGAAAAGGAAGAGTTCTGGTTTGCAGCTCAAGATCTCTTCTTGAATATTCTGGGCTCTCTTCCTAAGCTTTCAATAGATATTAAACAGTGATTTCATAGCTTGAGTTTAAATAAGGGTCATCCTTGACCAATGTAGACTGTTTGCTTTATGTGAGTACCTACTCAGCATAACTATGTACTCTTGTTTATTTCAAGCAAGCCTCCACTTATTTGTTTGTCTAGTTGTGCTCTCAGCAAGTCTCCATCTTTTTTAATGTTAATTATTTATTTGTTCTATCTTGGTTGTGTTCTATCATTCTAGCTTCTTAATCTTAATCTTGTTATTATGATTTAAGCTTAGATCTTTATGTACTATTTTTGGAATAATGATTATTGTATCTTATTTGATATTTTATATCAACTTTCACAGTACAGTTGCGGACGGCATAAACCGACCCTGCCCCGCCCGCAAAATTCAAAATTGACATGCTGGGCCTATCCCCGGGGGGCATATACCCACACACCCAATTTTATTGCAGTTTTGAACTCCTACACATGTGTAGAGCTCAGAATTGTAACTGCTAAGCCTCTGCACCAGCGGTTCTTGATATTTTTTTTGCCGCATGCATGTATTTGGACATGCCTAACAAAAGCCATGTCTAAATCCATAACTATGGGGTTTAACCACACATAGTCATGGGGTTATACCTTTTAGACTCCTCTATGATAGCTGTAGCATCTACCCTATGCATTGGTGAATGCTCTACAGTATATTCTAAGCATTTTAAATGCTAAAAAAAGCCTCAAAGTCTGAAAAAAACAAAACAAATCCTGATTTTTTGCCTCAACAATTTGGACATTCAAAAAATCCTTGGTCAGTCTATGCCATCCCCACCTGTACTCAAGAGTGTCAATACGTGTGTCACACTCTTTCCTGTTGACAGCTGTGAAATCAATTATACCCTGCTGAATGATTAATGATTTAATGCTATGTAAATCTATGTCTCTTTGGGTGGTTTTCTACTTGCAAATTGATTAATGATTTAATGCTATGTAAATCTATATCTCTTTGGGTGGTTTTCTACTTGCAAATTAAGAAATTTGTTACTAATTGTTCCTAAATTAACTTTCAAACTTTCTTCTTTAATTATTGATTAATTAGGCTGTGTGATAAAAAATAATTTTATAAGATTTGTTTTGTAAATACATATGTACCTTTTAATCTTCCTCTTATGTTTTATACCTTTAGTCTGTGTAGTTTAATTATATATTTAAATAAAAAATATAAAGAAAAAGAACTATAAATTGAGAATACAGGATTTTATTATGACCATTTGACATTATTTCCTCTTTTCTTGAGTTTATATCTACTATTTTAATATTTTAATATGCCTTTTATATGTTTTATGGGCTTGGTTGGTCTTGCAACATCCTCTCCCAACTTATTTGTATGCCCTCTGACAATTCTGTGCTAAATAAATGATACATAAATATTATTATGAGACTTGAAGATATACCAGAATAAAATATACTAAAAAAGTAAGATTTGTCTGATGGCAGTCAAACAAGGAAGAATAAAGAGTCTAATAGACCAATATCATGATTCAGATTAAGTTTTGAACTGATTATCTTGATTTGAGGATCTTCAGGTCTTGAGTTTTCATCTTGAGGGAAATCTTCCAATGCAACCTTGAGTGGGGAGCTTCTAATGAAATTTTACATAATTTATTATCTAGGTGAATTTTCTGATCATATCTTTTATTTTAATAATCAAAATCTGTACTAGCCCTCTGACTAATAAACAGTTCTAATCTTTATCTATATCAATTTATATTTCTATAATTCATCTTTAACTATATTATGTAATTCCTTTTTATTTGATTCTCTCTTTACAAAGATATTCTTATTCAAATTTTTCTCATATTTTAATCAAAATCAGTGGGTCACCCAGTTTTGATTTAGAGCCTTGACAGCTAGATTTCCCTGCAAAAATCTAGACTTTTTGGGTCTAAATGTAAAACTGGGAGGGGCCCAGATCCAATGGGAATTTGTCCAGTATGCTACCCATTTCAAGAAATTGGGTAAAAATGATTGCTACAATAGCAGTTAACATACCTGGTCCATATTATGGGTGTTCTGGGGAGAGGAGGAATGGATTGTCTGAATTCTGGCTCTTGATGGTAGATTGCAAAACAAGGAATACACAACATGCAAATATTCAACCTGATTTGAATTCTTCCTGAATTAGGGAGTTTTTAGCATAATTTTAGTCTCACATTGATCTCAGAATTGCAACACAGGGACCTCTAAGGCTTCCTGTGCTCAGGAATCTTTAAGGTTTCCTGAGGGCAAATTAAGGCTTAAACTTTGCCAAATCTTTCCTCCATCCTGTACAAACTAGCTTAAAATAAGCTATAATTAAGCCTCCCATCTACCAACATTGAAACCAATACAATACATGTATTTGTATCTGTTTTTCTCTGAATACACTGTATCTGTATTGTATCAAAAAGCAGATACCTTTGTTTCACTTCAGAATATTTATTTCAGTTCTCATTAGAGATGGTCTCAGGGTATCTGTTGCGGTGTGGAACTACTCTTTGAGGGAATAGAGTTTAGAGAGGGATAAATGCTTGAAGGGCTGCCTATCTGGTTACTGGGAGAGTAAGAAGAACAAGAAATAAGAGTATGGAATCTTAAAGAAAGGTGTGGCTAGATGAAGATGTAAGATTTGTAAAGGGTGAGTTATGAGGATAATAATTCTGTGT